AAGTATAAGTGATTATACTCATATAATGTATAAATGATTATACATTTGTGCTGTAGCCTTTGGTCAGCTACTTAACTTTTCAGTCTCAATTTACTCAGCCAAATAGTTATAGTGAGATTACACCCTCATAGGATACTTATCAAAATTGAAAGAGATGCAGCATAGAACAGTGTCTGGCAAGTAAACCCTTAAACAAATTTTAGCTACTATTTTGTGAACAGTAATCCTTACAAAAGTCAGGCAGAGTTGGTATCTATGATTCTAATTGCACAAATAGGGAACAAGRTTTAGAAAAAAACTGATTTGGCCAAGATTAAATTTAAAACCCTGTCTTTGTCTCTAACTCTTTACTTCATCACACTTGTTCTCATAACTATTTTATAAAAATTATCTAGATAAATTAGAAAAGAACTAGCTTTTAACTGGGGATATCATGCACCTGACAAGTAGATGTTCAATAAATAGAAACAACCATTGGAATGAGCCAGGGGATAATGGGGAAGGAAGGAGGAAGAGCTGGGGTTTGGAAAGGAACTGTGATATGTACTTACGAATATGTCAAAACGAACTCTACCATTATGCATAACTGTAACACACTAATTAAATAAATTTTAAAAAGACAATTGATTGAAYGAATGCATGAATGCAAACCTGCMATTCTAYCCAGGGTGGTCCTCTCTCTAATTGCCTGCTATGCCAGATTTGTTTTGTCTTTGCTTTTCTCATCCTATCACATCATTTATGCAACTCTTATTTTCCCTCTAATTGTTGATTCAAATCCTACATATCCATCAAAGGCATCTATAATATTTTACTTTAATATTTCCCATAACTTCAAAAATGTTGCCAGAGATRTATACCACCTGAGTTATTATTTATTTAGCATTTTTCCTTAAATGGCACACTTTTTAATTCTAGATTTTGTTTGAAAAGGAAATTGCCTAAGTGAAAAACCAGTTTCACTTGGCATAAAAGAGCTATAACCATAAAAACCACTATAACAKAAGCAAAATAAAATTCGAGCTAGATTTTGTTACTTGCCAAAAATCTCTGAGCCTGAAACTTGCTTATTCCTACTTAAAAAATAAATCAATATAAGCACATGCTACATATGTGCATAAAATTGAAATTTTGAAATCTTCTCATTGCAATAATCCAGTAAAGTAAAAGAACTGAACAGGAAATAACTTTTTAATTCAACGTTTCAATCACATCACTATAGAGGATATCATACAATGATACTCTTCTTGACTTTGGAATCCAGACAGTATCTGACTATCCACTCGGTCTCAATATTTCTTTTGTGAACTGCATCATTTATTGATGTCACTTATTTGAGAACTTAACCATAACTATTCTTATATGCTCTTTAGTTAGTTCATATCATTCCAGGYGGGCAGATACTAGAGGGATCTTAGTGGATCTTAGCATAAGACTTGGTTACATGTTATGGTTTAACCAAATCAGAAACAATCTCATATGCAGTGTCTCAGTAAATGCCATAAAAAAACTTGAACTGGTCATAATAAATTATTTTCTGGTGAATCAATAAGGAATTACATGTAGGAATAGCTGTATATATTCTTTATCTTGCATTTGTTAATGATAATGTCATGTTCCATGTGTAACTCTCATTTATTGGCTATAAATACAGTAGCCTTTATGAGATAAGATGATTTAATTCAGTTATTTGCTATACTGCTATTAAAGCTTTGTAATTTAAAAGATGTTTGAGTAAATTCTAGCCTTGGATTAATATGATCAGCATTTAAAAGTTCTTTTGCATTTCACAAGACTTCAGTTTCCATCTTAGAAAAATCAAACTTAAATACATTTTAAATGGTCAACCACCTGGCTAATGTTTGATCTTTAATAAACATCTAAGTTTGAGAATGGTTCACAGAAGCACACTACAGTCATTCACTCCTTGACTTCTCTCCTTTTCTCTACAGATCTAAGATTTGCCTTTTCTCAGGGCATATGTATATCATAAAAATTGTAATTAAAAACTAGAAATAATTACAAACATCTTTACTTTTAATTAATCTTCACAACTTAATCATATTTCATAGAATTCATCTCTACTAAACTTTTATAGTCACAAACTGAGTCCAAGTTTGAAAAAAGTTGTATTCATTTGAAAATACTTTATCTGCTTCAAAATATCTCCCTTCTGTAGGAAGGGAAGATAGTATATTTTCCATTCTTTATTAAATATTAGAGATTTGCAGAATTTTTTTCTCATAATAATACTTTATTGTATATAGATATACATACACATACATACACACACATGCACGTTTTAGGACGCTCAATAGAATAGTTTTGAATTTATATGGAGTTTAAGATTCAGCTGTCTKAAGACAGTTATATTACTTGTATATTTTATGTTCCTGTAAAATTATTATGCATTTTGAAGATCAAAAAATTCATGTACATAATCAGAATTTATTTTATTTTATTTTAATCTTATGCAAGCTTATAATTTTTCATTCTCAAACAGCTCTGTCAGGAAGAAAGGTTATGACCTGATATTAATAAGAACAAAGGGTTTTGATTTTCTTTATATTCTAATCCTCCAGTAGCTAATAAATATTTTAGCTGTCTTTCAAATGAAGCATTATGCCATATTCAAGATTATTTTAATTAGTTATCAAAGATGGAATTAATTATATAAGCTTTTTATTTAGAACAATTTAATAGAAGGAAACCCATCTATTTTAGTGAAAGAAGATGAATTTGGAAGTAATAGGGCTGAATTAAAACCCTGGTTCTGCCTTTGAGGAAGTAATTTCATTTCAACGAACATTTTCAGATCTTTAAAATGGGAACAATAGCTGGTTTAGTCAGCTTTTTCCATGTTGTGACTAAAAGACCCAACCAGAACAACTTTAGAGGAGAAAAAGTTTGAGGGCTCACAGTCTCAGAGGTCTTAGTCCATAGAAGGCAGGCTCCATTCCTCCAGGCTTCAGGTGCAATAGAAAATCATGGCGGAAGAGTGAGGCAGAGGGAAACACCTTACACAAAGATCAGAAAGCAGAAAGAGAGACTCCACCCTCGTATGCAAAATATATACATCGTAGCCACGCCTCCAATGAGCCTCTTCCTGCAGCTACAGCCCACCTGCCTCCAGTTACCACTCAATTAGTCCCATCAGGGATTAATACACGGATTAGGTTAAGGCTACAACCCAATCACATCTCCTCCAAACTTTCTTGCATTGTCTCCCATGTGAGCTTTGGGGGGAGACCACATCTTAATCATAACAATAGCTCTCATAAATATCAACAAATAATATATGGAAGTGATCATAAAAGTTGCTTTAAAATGTTAGCTCTCGTTACCCAACTGGAAATTCTAAATAAAGTGTCGATTTTACCTGAAAAGTTAAATTCGGGTAGGTAGAATTAGTCTTGTCCATTATTTTCTATCTCCTGGAGACCTTCTCTGCCACATCCGGGTGACAGGCACTGGAATCACTGCTTTTAGCAAGAAGAGAAATCTGTCCCCATGAAGCCACATTCCAGTAGACAATAAAACAATTTTTTTTTAAATAAAATAAATGTCACTGTAGTAATGAAAGTGCTGTTGAGCAAATGAAGCAGATAGATGGACTGATATGAAAAGGATTGGACACAGTTTTGGTAAGGTGGTTGATTAGACTTCTCTGAAATTGTGAAAGGAGGAAATAGTAGGTGCAGTCTGAATAAACACCTAGGCATAGGGAAGGAACAGARGAGAAACCTGGCGTGGGAAGAGTCCGGTGCCCTTGATCGACTACCACTAAGGCCCCAAATGGAGCAGTGTTAGACAGAGGACTGAATGGTWGAAGAATTGAGGAACTAGTAAGGGCTCCTCACATCCTGTAAAGACTCTGCCACCATAGTAAGGAGAGGGACAGGTAATCATTGAAGTAGTCAAATTGTAACTTTTAAGTATTTTTCTAGGCAGTTACTGTGGGTACTGAAGAGAAACATATGGGTAATGGATGAATGATAGTAAAGCAGGTGGTGAGACACTTCTGAATTTGGAATGTATTTTAAAGTTAGAGCTGATAGACATTTAAAAGCAAAAACATAAAAAACAAAAGGAGACTCAAGAATAACCACTAATATTTTGCCTTGTACAACTGGAAGACACTGATCCAAGAAAGTGAGGGAAGGAGAGTATTTGAGTGTATACCAGTCAAGAGTTCTAGTTGCATCATGTTGAAATTAAGGTGCTGATACAGACAGTCAAGTGATTCTACAAAAGAGGCAAGTAGATATATTCTCAAGTGTCATTATTAGGCTTCTATTTGTTTCAAAATTATTTTCTGCATTTCCATGTGGCAAATCCTGCTCATGCTCCATATACTTAAAGTTGTAGAAGGGATCTTTGACTATAGTTTTCATAAATTAAGTTCCTTCCAGAAAGTTGTCCCTGGACTATATTTACCACAAATGAATTCCCTAATTATCTATCTGAACCTTCTTTCACCTTCCCCAGGTCWTGAGACACATCATGTTTTAGTAGGATTGCAACACACAGCAGCCCCATCCAAGCAGCCTTCCAAAGTGTTTGTCATTCTCTGTATTATCTCCAAGGTATCTGAAGTTGTACTAGATGCTCGAAAACAAGATTCAGTAAAGTATAGCCCATACACCAAATCTAGCCCCTGCCGTGTGTTGCTAAATAAAGTCTTATTGGAGCATAGCATAGCCATACCCATTCTTTCAGTATCATATGTGGCTGCATTCACGTTAAAAAGGCAGAGCTGAGTAGTTACCAGAGAACTTATGGTCCATGAAGCCTAAAATATTTGACACTTWAAAAAAAAAATGTTGGTTGACCCCTGCTCCAAGGCTTCCTCTAATCATGAAGCTTCATGATTTTGTGATTTAAGAAAAATGGAATACAAATGAGAAAGATCTATGTCTGTTTACCAGCTGAAATAATTGTAAAGTAGTAATGATATTGAGCATTCAATTTTTAGTGATTTTTTTTCCTTTCCTTTAAAGCTGAGAATCAGAGTTCAATCGAAACATCAGAAATGCCAGGTAAGTAAACACTCTTTTCTCTGAGTACATTGATATGCAAAATTTCCAAGAAAGGGAGAAAGTAAATTAATCAGTTTGAGGGCACAGTGAAATGGTTGAGGGAGAAAACATTACACACAACAAAAAATGTTCAGGAGAACTTGGGTTTAAAAGAACCCAACATGCAGACCAGATGAGCATACAGGACATGCCTGAGTGCTCCTTTGCTGAGATGGAGCCAGCCCCAACGAATGAACAGTCTGTGGAATTGCCCTCTGTCTGGTCTCACTGTTCTTGGTTTGTTTCTGTGGCAAGTGCTCTTTCTCCCAGAATCAGAGCATCATCTCCATACTTTTAGACAAAGTCTTGCTCTGGCATCCAAAACTGATTGGGGTAAAATTGGGAGTTCATAACCCACTTCAATCTCTTGTATGAAATATGATATGTCAAGAGCTTTGTAATGTTGTGAACAACCAATAAAAAAAAAAACTGGTTGGCGTAAACCACAGTTAGCAATCTAAAATGTTCGCGCTCCAAGAATGGCACACGTCTTACCATCTCTTAGTTTTACCCTGAATACATTTTGCCTGATTGAGTAACAGAAATTGGAAATGATCGGGCAGGTCACAATAGTAAGGTTGAGTCTTCCTGTTTTGAAATTTTAATTTTGGGGGGATTTTTCCAACACCTTACCTGGTACTTAAACCAATGATAAATCATAGGTCCTCAATCCTGGTCACCTTTGCTGTATGTAAAATAAGCCTAAAGGATTATGTGATTTTTTWAAAAAATCAGGAAAAAATTATAAGCAATTCTAATACTGTTTTCACAGAAAATGTCTTAAATTAGCCTTCCTTCCACCTCCCTTTTTCAAAAAATTTGAAACAAATTATTATGATTTTTAACTTTTAATTGTTATCTACTTCTAGATAATATAACTCATAAATAAATGAGTCATTTGGATTATCAGCTCTCTTTTTTCCTCTCATTGCCATGTTTTTATCTTATCCATTGTCAGGGCACTAAGGAAAACAAGGAAAGACAAAACAGAAAAGCAGAGCTTCCAGCAGAGAGGGCTGATACAATTCTGAGAACCTTTCCCACTGCTCCTGGGTTGTCTAAGGAGAGGTCAAAAGATGAAGGGGAATTGGGAGGTTGCCAGATTGTCAGTCTCTTTTAAGTAGGAACTGAAGCATCCTTCATTTTGTTTAAAAGAGTTTTATTTGACAGAATGTTAGCTCTAACTATAATTGGTTTTGAATGGAATAAAAATTTAGTTCATTTGAATTTTTTGAGCTGTGTAAACTAGTTCTTCTAAAACATAAGAGACAACCATCAATTTGAATAAGCAGATGAGAAAGAAAACAGACTGTTACAAGAAAAGTCCTGATCCTTTCTTTATGCTCAAACTTCTGATAACATGTTGTGGCTAAATTTAATCCAGATTCATTTTCCCCTAAAGGATGAATTAGTAAGTTTATTAAGAGGGAATATCCTATTCATACACTATACAWGGGTTGGAAATTCTATTCATTTTTCAGATTAAACACTTCTTTTGACTTGTGTATTTGTCATAAAACACATTAAGATGCAGAATTTGTGAAATATTCATCCAAAAATTGACAAGTAAATTATTAAAAAATAATGTGTATTTTAAGTACATTTTTTTTCACCTCTCATTYGATTTATTTATTTATTTGTTTGTTTTTGTGGTGTTGGGGATTGAACCCAGGGCTTTGTGCAAGTACTCTACCAACTGAGCTATATCCCAGCCCCTCTACTATTTTTTTTATACAGGTTTATCTTTCACATAGTATAATGTACAAATCTTATGAACTTCTGCAAATGTATACATCTGTGCAAACAATGTTGAGAACAAGCTACAGGGCATATATAATAACCCAGAGGGCCTCTTCTACCCCTTTAACTCCATTTTCTTCCCATCACCAGAGGTTACTACTATACTTGGTATTTTTATTTATTATTTTTTTGATTACTACAATTTTGATCTCTAACCAATAAAAATTATTTAACTTCCCTATGTCTTTTATTTTTAAAAGAAATTTTAGGTTCATAGCAAAATTGACATAAGGTACAGATCTCCCATATGCCTCCTGTCTCCACTTCTGCGTGGCCTTACCATTTTATCACTATCCTGAACCAGAGCGGTACAATCATTTCAGTTGAATGAATTGCACAGTATTATCACAGTATTAGTTTATATTAGGAATCCCTACTGGTGTGTATTTTAYGGGTTTGGACAAATACAAAAGGACACATATCCACTGTTAGAGTATTGTACAAAATATTGTTACTGTCCTAAAAGTCCTAGGTACTCTGATCATTCATCTCTCTCCCGTGACCCCTGGAAACTACTTGTTTTCAGTGTCTCTTGTATAGCTCTTTCCAGAATATCATAAGGTTGAAATTATACGTAGACTTTTCAGATTGACTTCYTTAACTTAGTAATACACATTTACATTTCATCCATGTCTTTTAGTGACTTGATAGCTCATTTCTTTTTCATGCTCATGTAATTTGATTTTGCTGCATTCTGAAGTCTCCTAATAATTCCATATTTCTTTTATATGTGCTTTCAAGATCCTAATAAATAATCATTCTATAATAACATTGTCTTTGAAGACTAGGAATTTAAGATTACTCACTTTTAATATTTGAAGTATGCATTGTTCTTATCCCAATTTACCATAAAAGTATTAAGTACAATTTGATAAAAATTATTTTAACTAGAAGTCAATATAGAATTATAGACCAAAGAATTCCTAGTACTGATTCCCTTCTATAAATATGAGCTAATAGGTAGCTAATAGTTCTCAGATTTGATATTTTCTTTCATTTTAGCATCTAGCTTTAATTTTCTTAAAAATTACCTTTTAATCATTTACCTCACAGGTTACTATTAAGATTATAAATATTGATGATTATTATATGTAAAGTCTTTTTTGAGGGATTAGGAGTAAATAAAATRTAATTATAAGCAACTACACATAGATATGATGTTTTAACATTATATAAATACAAACAAAAAATATTGTAGTTATATGGAAATGATCGATCAAGGTCTGCAGACATGTTCTTTTGTTCCATTCAATAGAATAAAGGTGCTCAAGAGGCTGAGGCAGGAGGAGCATGAGTTCAAAGCCAGCCTCAGCAAAAGTGAGGCACTAAGCAACTCAGTGAGACCCTGTCTCTAAATTAAAAAAAAAAATAGGGCTGCAGATGTGGCTCAGTGGTCGAGTGCTGCTGAGTTCAATCTCCTGTACACCCCCACTGCTGACAAAAAGTATAAAGGTTGTATGCAGTCGTAGCTATGCTTAATGATGCTTAACCTGAGAAATTTAGCTCATTCTCTAAAGTATATGGGAAAGTCAAACTTCAGCTTCCCAGTGTAACCGATCTGCTTAGTGCCTACAATTTAGTATGATCCTCTGATAATTACACATAATGATATTTTCAATCAACCATTGTTAACCATGGCATTCAATAAATATTCATTCTGTTCCTATTACATGTAATTCTGAGAATTATTTTTAAAAAACACATGAAGCTTGTCATTACTACATTATTCAGGGAGACTAAGTAATATTATAGATGACTATAATAACTCTAGTAGTCATGTAGCTGTAAAGTAATGTGTCCTAAGCAAGCTGCAGATTACTTTCTATGAGGTCAGAGGAGAGATTTTTTATTTTCCTTTTGCTTATTTTATAGTGTCCTTTGAATGAGGAAAAGCACTTTAAGAAAGACACAGAAAGGATTCATTAAAAAAATGACTTTTGGTGCCATATTATTCTACCTACTCTAAGTTCAGAGCTAATGAAGAGATAGAAAGACCCACTAAAAAGCAATGTAGGGTTACTTATTGCCTAGAGATGGACAGACATTATATCCTCATTTACAATGTTAAGCAATGCTGGGATTCACTTTCTGTTAACCTTATTGTTTTCCCATAGACAAGCAAAGCTGACAACTTGTCCTTGAGGCTTAGTTTTAAAGTACACACCTATAATCCCAGCTACTGGAGAAGCTGAAGCAGGAGAACTGTATGTTCAAGGCCTGTCTGGCAACTTAGCAAGACCTTGTCTCAAAACGAAAATAAAAGAAACAGGGCTGGGGATGTAGCTGAGTAGAAGAGCAATTGCCTAGCATGTGCAAGTCCCTAGGTTTGATCCCCAATATTACAATAAAAAATTTTAAAATGTAAATAATAATAAATAACTGGTCCTTGAAAATGGGCATTTTAATTAATGAGACCTCAACCCTACACAAAAATGCATCAGTATATCTCAGTGTACTGGGAAAAGAATAAAGCATGGGCCCTTTCGTTTTTGGAGAATACAAGTATATTAATTACTTAATGTTCTCCAGATAAATGGACCCAATCAGATGTGTGTGTATAAAAGGCAATTTATTATAAACAATGGCCTCACACAATTTCAGAAGCTGAGAAATCCCAATTATCTGCTATCAACAAACAGGAGTCCCAGGCAAGCCGCTGGTATACCCTCAGCCAAAATCCAAAGGTCTGAGAACCAGGTGTGCTGATGGTATAGTTTCAGTTCTAAAGTTGGTAGGCTCAAGAAACACAGGAGAGCTGAGCGTTTCAGTACAAGTCCTAAGGCAGGGGAAGATGGACATCCCCATCCAAGGCAGTCAGGCCAGAGGAGTCCCTTCTTGTTCTATTCAGGACTTCAGCTGGTTGGGCAAGACAAGATGCCACAGTCTGGCTGGGCAAAATAACCGGGAGGTGACAAGCAACTTGAAGGTTGAAGCGGGAACTGCTTTATTGTGGGGAACTCAAGGTAGCGGGCACTCAAGGTAGCAGGAGCCGCTTTATTGTGGAGCAGCAGAGGTATATATACCTAACTGATTACACACACCTTGACTCAATTAGCATCATCCAGATACAGCAATCAGCCAATAAGGAATCTCTACCATCTTACTGGCTCGGTGGCGTTGCCTCACAAACCACTCCTCCTGGCAAACTGCCAGGCGCCATC